CCTTAAACGAATGTCAGACTAAATATCTCAGCATCCCTACTGGAAATCAAATAACTTTTTCTCACATTTTTATCTACAGTTTGCTAATTGACGTCATGTTTAACCACAACATTAAACTGCCTGGCAGTAGAGAGAGACATATAAGGTGAGCTTTTTTTATATTTTAAAAGTCGTTCCATGTGAGCACATCATACATTTCTTAAAGATGATGGACTAAATTCTCTTGAACTCCTTCTCTCATACAGCGACATTACACTCAGAAGCTTCCAATAACAGATCAGAGTAGCACAGCCCTCGTGTCTGATGTGCGTCACTGGGTCGCTTTTCATACACGAGTCTCTGGAGGGCCGTCGCTCTGCTTGTCGTGACTGAGTCAGATGAGCAGACACGGCCTTAAGGTAAAGCATTTACAGCCCCTCTGCTGCGCAGAGCTGCACCGGAATTCATTTTAAAGTACACCATGTGCTGCTCTGACATAAGCACACAGTAAGAGGAAAAAAAACCACTTCGACGGTGGAAACGCTGCGTTCCACTTCACCAACATACAGCAGGTTAGTCTGACCTGCAGGACAGGGAGGTCTCCATCTGGTAAATAAGTAACTCTGGATTTAGTGCTCAGCTCCTAAATCAGCTACAGGAAAATGCAAGCCTGCATTTTAACCCTTAACTGAAACAAAGCGTTGTTTATTTATTCTCCACAATGAGTTAAAAAGCTTGCTCAAGTTATTTCCTAAACACAAAAACGATGATCTGTTTGATAAAGCTGAATTAAATAACAATGAAAAGTTGGTTTTGGAAATGTAGACTTACCCATGCATGGGTCCTCCTTGCTCCAAACTGTACACCTGCCTGGGGTTAAGCAGATACCTGAACTTCCTGAGAACACTGGGGGAAAAACACAACATGGGGGAGCATTCATTAAGGCTTGTACACACTGATAATGACTGATGTTCTTCATATTACTGAAACAATAAAGGTGGGTTTCATGCAAAGCTGCTGGAACCAGCTATATTTTATTGCTATCAGATAATCTGATGCTATGAATGCTCCCATGAGCTAGCTTATTGTTCCAGTGCTGCAGCATAACAACATTCTAACATAATTAGAATTTCTAAAGTAGAATAAGAAGCAGATCTTTTAGTTATCAGGCTCCAACTACCAGTTTTAGTCCGTGAGGAAGACACCCCCATCTACTTTTAAGGCTAGACTTAAAACTTTCCTTTTTGATAAAGCTTATATGAGCTATCGCTATAGTTATGCTGNGATCGGCCTGTTTTTCAGTGTAGTCCTGTTTCTCTGACTGTGACTAACTGGATGTGCTCTCTTCATCCTCTGACTTGGAGCTCGTCTTTTTCTTATTTTAAATGTCAGTTGTCTTGTTCCATTGGCAAAGTGTCTCACTATCTTCTCCAGTTCAAAAATAAATGCACTTATATAAAGAAAAAATGAACTATTAAGATTTAAAAATTTTGTTTTTGCAGTATAAATAAAAAGATTTTTTTCAGCCACTGAGTTTGCATAAATTCAACTTACAGTAAGAACCGGTAAATGTAGTAATAAATGAAAAAATGTATGCTTGAAACCCTGTTTTTGTTCAAGTTTAACAGGAAACAAGATAAAGTTTTCTGCATTGGAACAGATCTGTAGTTAATTTATCAGCTGTTTCAATGAATCTGCATTTGTGCGTGTCTATAATGGCCGTGACCCTGAAACTCCATGCTCTAGTTGACGCCATGAGAATGAAAAAGCTGAGATAAAAATCATTGAGCTGTGTGTCGGAGAGCTTTGATCTGCACTGCAAAAAAACCAAAACCAAAAAAAGCAATTTTTTTTTATAAAATAAGTGCATTTATTCTTGAATTGAGGAGGTAAAAGAGACATTTTGCCAATTGAACGAGACAATTTACACTTAAAATAAGAAAACACAATTACATTGTCTTATTTTAAGTGCATGTTATCTAATTATCTTATTTCAAGAGTAAAAATACTCTTTCCATTGGCAAACTATCTCATTTACCTGCTCAAAT